CCACTGCACTCCAGCCTGAGAGACAGAGACTCCGTGTCAGAAAAAATAAATAAATAAATATAAGAGAAAAAAATCTGAATAGAAAAGATTGGGTAACTACTAGAGGAGACATAAAAATATAACTTTTGTTAGCTATAGACTGCAGCCCCAAACTTTTCTTGCTTTCCACAGAATATTGGAAACAATAGTGAGAGACGGTAGATGGCACTATAAAAGACAACAGTGAAGAAAATAAGATATAAGAAAGCACCCCTTGCACTAAAAAAAAGCCTAGTAGAAAAAAAGACTCATCATTATTATGTCAAGTGTAAGATATTAAATGCCTTATACCATAATGATTTTCATACTCTACCTACCTACCTATATATCTACTATCTGTTTAGTACACTGTTTTATTGGGATACATGCCAAACCCCAATGCCAATAAAAACAAAATTTAAGAGCTCCCAGAGATTAGAGTAGCTAAATAAGAATGAATAATATAATGTTTACTCAATTGCAATTTTAATGAGCCTCCTTACTTACTAGTGAGTAAGTCTAATGATTTAAGGCCTTGCAGTGTAGTACCTATTAACACATAGGTGCATTCCAATTGACTTCTGATTTTGTCTCATGATTAAAGTCTCTGCGAGCTAGTAGCTGTTAACATGTTAGAGCATTCCCAATTGACTCTGATTTTCTGTCTTGTTTTTAATATATATGAATAAAGGAGCGTACATTAAAATGGTGCTGCTGACTCCCCAAGTGAGAAACAGGTTGGAGTATTTTGTTCAGTAGCCAAGGAATGGCAAGGTGAGTCACCCTTTCTCACCTGAATGCCTAATGCGAGGCACACAATTTTTATATATTCATGCAGTATTGTGATTATATTCTGTGGCAAAATAGCAGGTTAATTTTTGTTTGATTGTGTATCATTTCATTCTGTTCTGTTCCATTGACCTTGTTAACCACCTATATTAATCATCTAAACCACAGAGTTCAGACTTTTTCTCCTACCCTGTTTTTCTGTTGGTTGTTTTTGGCATTTATTAACAGCAACAATGTTTTCTTTCTCATTGGCCTTTTATGTATCTCATTTCACTCATTCAGCAAATACTAAATAAGTGTCAATTTTGGGGTGTCAAGGCAAAATGAGGGAGTGGAGTGAGATGAGGCTAGGAAGAAAAACAGAGCCAGGTCATTTGAGGTCTTACAAACTTTTGAAAATCTGGCCTTTATCTTAAGAGAAAAAGGAAACTAAGAAAAATATTAAGCACTGGAGTGACACCATATTACTTCTGCCACTTGTTTTGTCTTGTTTCCCTCCCTCTCCAATTGGGATCACCTTAAACGGTGACTTTATACTGTTATCCCATCATTTACATTTCCTATTTCCAACTCACAATTTTTTATGAAAGAAAAAGGTTGCCAATTGTATGAAAATAACTACTCCGAGAGACATAAGAGAGTTTGTAAATAGACACCTATTAGTTGGTTCATAAAAACATATGATAGAGGCTATGGATAGAGTCATTATTTGTAAATCACAGCTCATCTCCAAAAAAGAAAGAAATAGGGGACATGCTTTGTTGATGCTCATCATTACAACTTAATAGTACAAGTATAAAACTGAATACTTAATGGACAGGTATCTGTGACATAAGAATCCTCTCAGCAATGTGCTTGATCTACCCACGTATGTGCCTGATAATGAAGCCTCATTTAGGGTTGTGAGTGTATATATGCTTGTTCCTGGTGTTCTATTAACATCTGGCTATAGTAGGCAATTTCTCTTTTGGCTTTGTTTTTTTTAAAAAGATAATGTAACTTATGTGGGTGCCTATCCGGTTTCAATTGCTCATTTTATTGATTTAACAATAATAGTCGTTGATGGTCATGTCTTCCCCAGGAGAAGAAGTTGACAGACAGCTGTGCAGAGATGCCATCTTTCCCATCCCTGTGGCCTGCGATGCCCCATGCCCAAAAGACTGTGTGCTCAGCACGTGGTCTACGTGGTCCTCCTGCTCACACACCTGCTCAGGGAAAACCACAGAAGGGAAGCAGATACGAGCACGATCCATTCTGGCCTATGCGGGTGAAGAAGGTGAGTCTCCAGCTTCAGACGCCATCTAGGTTCGTTTCAGAAGTTAGTGTGCGTCTTTTTTGTGTAGCCTGGATAAGATGATATTCTATGAAAATCAACTGCCAGAAATCCAGCCATATCTGTTGATGTGTTGAGCAATTTGATTCTGTCCCCCAAAGTTAATCTTGAAAATGGATCTCTAACAAAGGAGGAAAGACTTTTAAAAGTGAACTCATTTTGCTTTTTCCCAGCCTCCCAGTCATTAGAGATCTTTGTAAGCCAAAGTGTTAAGCCTTTAAAACGGTCTGAAAATGGCTCCCAAAATTCCAGGTATTTCTTTGTTTTTTATGAACTTCAGAAGTCAGTTTTATCCTTTGAAATCAAATTCTACCTTCTCATAAATAAGTATATATGTCTAATAATAAAGTTTATTTAAAATCACAAGAATAGCTAGTGTTCAACTGAAAATTGCATGAGTTTTCAGTTTCTTTCGGTTTCTTGAACATAGGCTCTGAGATCCAGAAATCTCATATGTAAATTTTGTTCATTTTTAAAATATGTTGCTCCTAAATCACTTCACCCTATAGGGTGAATAAAGCATGTTTGTCACATATTCAGACCTCACTTGCAAGCTTTATTGCCAAGAAATACAAGGCTCTTGGTAATTGTCTCTCAAGATGATATCCAAATGCTAATTTGGCCTCTGTGTGACTGGGTGATATAATGTCATACTTAATCTTGTCATTCTGAAAAATAACACAGGAGTGAGAAAAGCATAAAAGTAAATCAAATTTGTTCACATTAAGGCATGTTCTTTAGCAAGAATGTAAGTGTATGTCATTTAAACATTATCAAGCTAAATGACTCTTTGTTCACATTTAGCACTAATACGTAATTATTTGTAATATGCATAACATTTATGTTTTCCCCAAATTATCGATTTGCAGGGGAGTTTTGTGTTGCCTATGCCTTTTTCTATTTTTCTCTTTATGAAGTATTTTAGTGATAGAAACACAGTGTTCTTAGTCAAATTTGCTATCTGTGTGTGTAATAACTACATAAACATATAACTACCTTGGCCTTTGCACATGAGTGTTACATGAGTAAAACAAACATTTTACATGCAAAAAAGCCAACCAGTGTGAAGTTTTAGAATGTACTTTACAGTGTTCAAAAACTTTTTCCTACCATCTTAATATATACTTAACTCTTTGCTACAAAAAAGTGTATCTATTAAAAAATAGAACCTTTTATAAAGAAAATTATATTTCTTGTGTTGTCAAACAATGACTCTAACCTTGTGAAGATTGTAGGCAGACTTCAAACTCTATCAGCTCAGATTATGTCTTGGGCTTCATTAAAATTAGATCTGTGGTCACCCTGCTTCCTATAAATTCATTATGTTCTGCAGACACTTGCTGTGTGACTATTAATGAGTGACTTTTCACCCCCGAGTCACATGGCAAGGATTTTGTCATGCTTGCAGAACTCACCAGATCATTATTCCTATAGACATGTTGCTTCACACTGAAAGGTCATGAAATGTTTTAAAGGCAGAAATTTGTGATTGCTCTTTGATATGTATCATCCACTTAGTTTGAAAGGGTAGGGCTTTGATAGTTTTTAATTAAGTTTAGTGGTTGCGTTATAAATAAGACATGCTGGAAAGTTATAGATGTTTATATAGTAAATCACAAGGGCATTAATTCAAAACATAACTGCATTTCCTATAGTTTTGTTTTAATTGATATGTAATAATTGTATATATTTATAGGGTGCAGTGTGATGTATCAATATATGGATAAATTTTGTAATCAAATCAGAGTAATTAGCATATCCATCACCTCAGACATTTATCGTTTCTTTTAGCAAGGGCATAGAGAATCCTCTCTTCTAGCTATTTTGAAATACATAATACATTATTGTAAAACATAATTTTAAATAGAAGCCATAAAAGAAATTCTGTCAATGCTATTTGTCTCTGCTGCTATTTACCTCTGTTAATAACATTTATAAAAGCTGGTATAATTATATGAAATTTAGATTTCAAAGCCTATTTAGTACCTATTATTTGTTGGACACTGAAACATGTTTTATGAGAAATTTATGCTTCAAAGCCTATTTAGTACCTATTATTTGTTGGACACTGAAACACATTTTCTCTTACTCAAAATCTTTCCTGATTCTGAACTATTTTTAATGATTTAGGAACAGCATCTGCAGGAAATTTTAAAATATGTTTCCCTGCCACTTAGATAACCCTTTGTAATTCTACACAAAAGTATGTCTTTCTATTATTCCTCAAGAATTAGTGCTTTGTGTCATAAGTGTTCTTAAATTTCTGTGGATCAGATACTTGACTGTGACAACTTTAAAGGAAAGTGCCACATTTGAGAAACGATATATGGAGTGTTTAGACAATCAATTATATGGTTTTCTAGGGAAATAATACATAGGATAAGTCCATGTGAAATGTAGTTCTGGATTTATGCAATAAATGCTCCAACCTATATTTTCATTTTCCTTAATCAGAATGCCACCATTAAGCAATACTGAAGGTTAGATAACTCCTTGTAATTAATAAGGATAGACTAGGTTGTGCTTCAGTAATGGACAACCCAGACATTCAGGACCTTAAAAGAACAAAGTTTTATTTATTTCTTCCTCATGGAAATTTAGCTACAGTTTTGGGTAACTCTCCAGAGCAGTTTGTCCTTCATGAAATGTCACAACATTGCATCACCATATGAAGACCTGGTTCCACAATCTTCATGGGCCAGAGGAAGAAAATACTTGAAGAATCTGTCAATTTTAAGCATCCCCAATTAAATTCTCCCATCTAAGAGTGATTGTCATTTCTCATGTTTCATTGTTAATGTAAGTTGTATAACTATGCCTAACTTCAAGGAGAATGAGGGAAATATAATCCTACTATGTGCTAAAACGAGAGGAGTATTGGCTAGTACTCTTTTCCCTGATTCACTCAGTGTTCTTATTGTGTATCAATGTGTATATATGTGTATATATGTGTGTGTGTGCGCGTGTGTGTGTGTATATATATATCCATAGATATACGATAAATAACTATTCTATATGGCCCCAATCCAGCAGATGAAACAGGGCTCTCCATTGTGAAAATGTTAGAATTCTTTTTGTCCCTCTTAAATGAATGACAGAATGATAGAATGGCACTTTCTCTTCCTCATACTGTACTTCTTTCCTTTCCTTTTTCTTTTCCTTTCCTTCACTTCCTTTTATTGCTAGGCTCTTTTTCTCCTTTCCTGAACAATTCTATCCAAAAAGCCATTTGGCAAAGCCAAGCAGCTGGGCATCTGTGTCAGCAGATGGGAGGTCTGCAGTGATCTAGAGTGGGCTGTCAGAGCCCAACTGGGTGAGGAGCAACCAAAGTGGGAAAAGAGGTGACCTGGCATGCAGTTTCAGAGCCACTGAGCAGGGTGAAGGACAGGGGGCACATGGGTTGTATGAGACGATAGAAGAGTGACTCAGCACTGGATGTCAGAGCATAGCAGGGTCAAGAGAGAATCCCAGAATCAAGGTGGCCAACCCAGTGTGGGGTGTCACAACCAGACACAGTTGAGGAGGGTTTCTGTCATGTGGGTGGCCTCATGTAGGATGTCAGATCATGAGCAGAGTGAGGAAGATATCTTGTGGGTATAGCCATGGAGATGACAATGGGAGATGGAGTGTGGGGTGAGAGGGAATTGACAAAATAAGTACATGTATTTAACATAATAAGAGTCGGGTTTTTTTATTGCTAGAGAAGAGAGTCGCAAATATGTTAGCAAAGAAAACTAGTACACTCTGTGGTACAGCATTGGAATTGGATGTTATTAATTTATTTGAATTCATGGTGTTCAATTTGTTAAGATAAATATAGATCAGACATCAATGTAAGTGTGCAAATATAAATACATATTATATACATATATACATATATTAGCCTCACTCACTGAAAAGACCTGAGAGCAGCAAGACCTCAACAGCAGTAAGTAGATGCAGCAGTCAGATCTTGATTTCTTATACTTTTCTCTAATAAAAGGAACAAGGGAAACTGCGAAATGGCTGATTCCACAGCTGCGCTAGAAGAAGTACAAGATGGGCCAGGAGGATCTTGTGGTAGAAAGTAAAGAGAATGTCAAAAGGCCACAGAAGCCAAGTTGAATGTTCTCCCACTGACCACGTATGCAAACAATTTTAGTAACAAAATAATAATACTAACAGACCGTTAAATAGGAAACCATGAATCCACACTTTATATAAATAAATAAATGAATTGAATCTCATTAAAAGCATTGTATTTACATAGTCTCAAATATTTCCCTAATAAAGTCTGACAGACACCCCCCTTAATATAGTGACCAAAGTTAGCATTATCAATAATGAAGCAAACCGAAATCTTGTGTCCTCAGTGTGATATAATGAGAATATGGCATCACTTCAGTGATAACTCTGTCAAAGATGCATATATAGAATCTATTCATGAGGAAACATCAGATAAAATCTAATTGAAAGACATTGTACAAAATAATCTTTAATCTTCCAAAGTGTCTAAGCCATGAAAAGCAACGATTGAAAAACTGTTCTAGATTTAAGGAGACTAACGAAGTGTGACATCTAAATGTAATGCGTGATTCTGAACTGAATCATTTTGCCATAAAGGACATTTTGGGACAGCTGGCAAACTTGAATGGGGTCTGGGGATTCAATGGTAATAACTTATCTGTTTATATTCTGATTTTTGGATTTTGAATATTGAATTGCTTATGTGTAGGAGGATGCTCTTGATCATGGGGAAGCACGCACTAACATACTTAGGGTGATGGACATCTTCTCATCTTTTTCCAAATGGTCCAGGAAAAGAAAATTATTTATATCATACTTTTAATTTCACTGTAATTTTGAGATTGGTTCAAAATTAAACATGAAAAGGAAACGAATTTGTATAATTTTTTTGAGGTAGAATCTGTTGCCCAGGCTGGAGTGCAGTGCCCCGATCTTGG